ACGCTTGCATGCCATGAGCAATGGGATGACATCAGTGTGGGTCTGCAATACCCGCACAGGAAGTCAAACCGACCCATCCAAACGCACAGGCCGCAAAGCGAAGCGAAGCAAATCGCACCCCATCCCGATGTTCACCTGCGCTCACTCGTTTTCCGACAAGGAAGAACATGCAGGTGCTTTGTTTTGCGAGACTCGTGCAGTGAAGGCACGCGTCATGCTCTTTATTCACTTGCTTACGTTCGCTGCCTGCTTCAAGCAGGACATGAGGCTTTTTGTCGCTGCTCCGTCATCCGGGGTCGGGCCGTGCAGCACTGACTGCCTGCACAAGGCAGTAATTGCACTGAGAAGGCTAACATCCAGCAAACTTGCAAGCAACCCTATCTGTCGGCTGAATGATAAACTATGTCGCGTCTGTCCAAATGGATGACACAACAATTCGAAAAACCAGGTTGTTCGGCCATGCTTTGAGGGGCGGCCTGACTTCGTGCGCCAATCGCGAATCGATGCAAACGTCATTCTCTCAACAGACTTGCCTGAGTTTCGAGGCATCGTCAGAGGAGCAAAGCTGTGCAGAGCCATCCGGGGACTCCGGGGACTTAACGGTAACTGCAAACATAGCATGCAGAATGTGCAATGCTGTACTGCGTCAGCCAACGTCAAGCAAACTCCCAAGCAATGCAACCTGTCCCAGACTGCCGCAGCTCGTCACATCTTTCCAAAAGGCGTTCCGGAACGCTTCAGGGGTATTCGGACATCATTCTTTTTTCGCACATCCTTCCTCATACGAAGCGCCGCTGCAAGTTATCGACTTTCCAAAGGCCGCCTCACTCCCGAAAACACAGTTCGGCACTGCGTCGAGGCAATTCTGACCTCATGCCCCACAGACCCAAGTGCGGCCAAGGAAGCGCGTCCGGGACTTTGTCAACGTGGTGCCAAGATGGTGCCCTTGTGACACGTTCGACAGAGAGGAAAGCGACTCAGCTTCATCGGCAAGGGCGCATCAGAAAAGGCCTCGGAATTTCATGAATCCCGGCACGCTGTCAGCGGCACGCTGTCAGCGGCACGCTGTCACCGGAAGCCACAAGGTGGGTGTGGAGGGCAACAGGCCTGGCAGGCCCAAGGCCGCGCACACCTTCTGGAAACAGACTTGGAGTTGGAGCATTGCTCGTGCCCACTTACGCCCACATCAGGGAGAACACGCTTCAAGGCCTTGTCATATGTTGGCCCGATTGCGGCGGACGGCGGCAGTGGCTGGCGGAAGGCAGAGTTTGGAGTTCATTAGAAGCCAATGTCCTGCAAACAGCCAAGGCTGCCAAGCAATGCAGCTTTTCTCAAACTGCATGATGCAGCACAGCTGCAGAGCCGCATCTGTTCAAAAGCCGTTATCCGAACTTCATGCTGCTTTCAGGCACTGTATGGTTCCGGACTTCCAGAGAAACAGCCTAGCAGCTCCAGAGAAGCAGCAGCAGTGAGGCGAAGCCCAGCAGAAGCAGGCTGTCAAGCAGCTGAACCTGGGCATTCTGAGACGTGAGAAGGTAGCAAAAGAATAGTGGGGTCTCGGAGGTTTGGGCTTTGGTGCATGACGACACGAGCTTAACAGGCGGTCCTTACGAAGCCCTCCCCCACGGGCCTGACCGGTAAACAGCACAGATCAGCGCAGCCCCGCGCGTGGGAGTGGTGCGGGAATTGCAGGGGTCTGGTCCTATTTCCGGAAAGATTTGCGTTTTGCGGGAGGGGCGGGGGTGAACCACTGTTGCTGCGGCACTCATGGTTGGTTGAATCAGAGGGTTTGTGCCGTGACGTGCCAGAAGCGAGCGGAACTCTTCAACTTCGGGGTTCGAGCCCGAGCTGCCGAAAAGCTGGCAGTCTACGCCGTGCGGCCCAAAAATATACGAGCGCCGTGCGGAGGACCAAAGACGGGGGAAGTCGGCCTGCTGCAAGCCGCTGCAAGCCTTAACGCAGCCAAAGTCCCAACTCAAGGGATTCCCATGTGTCCCGGAACTGCCACGCTGCGGCAGCGTCACTGCGTGGCAGGGCCGGCATCTTGCAGCGGCTTCAAACGATGACTTGGCTATGCTACGCTGGAAAGGAGCGGAGAGTCTGCAGCCTCGCGAGGGACTGGCGGGGCAGCTCTTCCCGATGCTGGGGAGTCGAGCAGATAAGCAGCTGCTGTCCTTGCACCGTTCAGCGGGCCGGTCAGGTCCGGTGGCGCATCTGTGCTAATTTGCAGAGCCATGCAAGATCTTCTGGATGCGGTTGGCAGCTAAAGCACTACAAGTAACATGCGACCTGCTAAAAAAACTCATGCTCACAATCTGACCTACCCACTTCGACGCTCTTAATTCAATCGGAACTGTGTGCAGCATTGACTCTAGCTTTCTTTGGTTCACGCAACATCACTCTCAAGACGGGCTCTCACACCATCTGCTTTGACATTCTCGTGCTCGGGAAGCACGTGTTAACCAGAAAAATGACCCGCGCTGACCTTGCCACATAGCGCGTCATCGACCGAACTTCTTGTAAAGTTGCAGGCACCAGCACAGGACACCACTCGCGCTCGCATGCGTATGCGTGCAGACTCATGACCCTGCACCCGCGTCGGCCCTCAACAGGAGCGGGCAATACACTCATCAGGCCCAGCAGAGGCTCACAAGTGACAAACGAAAGGCCACCCGGATGTGCTCAAAGCCTCAAAGCGGTTGAAGTCACAAGCTTCTTCGTGAAGGGTTGATACTCAGGGCACGGGGAGGCGCCCCTGCTCACTTGCTTGCAGACTAATGACCCTGCACGCGCATCGGCCCTTAAGAGGAGGGGGCACTCCACTCACAAGGCCCGACAGAGTCTCACAAGTGACAAACCCAAGGCGTCCGAGACTGTACTGGGCAACCCCTGCAAGTGCTCAAGCAGGTCGACGCCCCGCTCTCCTCACAGGACTCACGGACGATCAGGGGACAGGCTGGCTGGGCGCTAAACTGCGCCGGACCAGCTGACTTTGGCACGCCTTGCATGCGTCGTCTGACCTGATGCTGCACAGGCGACAGAAGCACGGCAACCCAAATCAACAAAACTGGAGTTGTAATTAGCTTTCGTGGTGTCACAAGTGCCAACCCGTCCAAAGGATTGATAGTCACACGGATCGCGCACGAAGGCGGGGCGTCGGACGCCTCAAAATGCTACTCGTACTTATATGAACTGCAACCATGCCATAGCTGCACATGCGTGCTGTGCTCCCTCGCCCTGCCGCCTGAGACAGAAGCGCATGCATGGATGCCGAAATAACGGATGGTAGTGGCCACCTGCAGACACGTCGATTCGGCCGGGAGTGTAACACTGTGAGGTCTGTCCATCTTCTCTGCCCACCCGCCCAGGCTCGTTGACCTGTCCGCTCCGAATAATGGTGCTTGCATGCTGCCCCAACAGTGATGATCTTCTGATAATCTGCGCCATGGGAGACATGCTGGATGGTGCAAAAGTGCCTCGCCGAGAGTCTGCAAGGCTTGAATCCACAAAAAAAAGTCATGGACGGATGAAGCAGCATCGATTCTTGTCCAAGCCCTGCGGAGCTCCTTTTACTGTGGGTATCTCCTTCCCTCAAACATCTCAAACTAACTACATGAAACCTAAAACATCTTCTTCAAACAGGCCTTAAGCGAATTCCCCTGAGGTTGGCAAACGATTTAATTTAACCTTTGCCAAGGCTTTGGCTTTCTTTTACCGGGGAGTCCCTCCCTACTACAGATCGAGAACCCAACTTTAAGCTGAGTGCTGCGGGCGTGAACATTTTGGGGGATTCCAGCTTAGGATGCCTCGGCCATAGGCACAGAGGGGACCTGTCAGCTATGGCCCGGCTATGGCCCAGGAGACGCGAAGCAAAAAACTGCACCCAAGCCTCCGACAGGCTCGGCTCTACGAGTCTCTCAGAGGCTTTGAGCACCCGCACGCCCGTCGGTCTCAGATCCGATTCCACGTTCTGCACGGGAGATCGAGTCCGACGGCCGGCTGCGGCTCTGATCAAACGACCGGCTCGTGAGGCGATTCCTTGGGCAGAGGCCGGGCATGCAGTCTTCTGGCACGAGCTCGGAGAAAGTGCTGTTCACTTTGATTCCCTGTGGATCGGGTGTGGGCAGGGGTGATGCTCACAAACGCCAGCACCGGACGGCCCAGCTTGGGGCCGGACGATGGTAGGCGGCCGCCAGGCGGCCTTGGCGGAGTGTCAGTGCAAGTCGTGCACCACCACGTGCAACACGTGCAACAGGCATCACACCATTTCGACACGTCTTGCGTGATGTGCTAAAGTCACGTTTCCGGGTGGGAGAGTCGGTGCCGGCAGTGCGAGCGAGTCCGCCTCCGCGATTGCCCAAGCCACTGCATCCGTGAAAGAGAAGCCCGCGATGGCCTCGAAACCGAAGAGCGCCCCAGGCAAATATAAGACTTGGTCCCCTGGTGGAACACTCTGGTAGAGCCAGAAGGCCACAACGGAGCCTGGTTCGGCGTCAGCGCATAAGGTCTAACAACGCAAGCTGGTCTCCACATCAATATCATGAAATGAAGCCTCTTGCACCTCAATGCTCTGAGCCACATGCCTTGTTGAGATGTCAATGTCGCCACCGCCGCCGCCTGCGTGTGGATATGGCTGAAGTTTTTTCACGCGGCGTCAACGTGAAGTACAAAGGCCTGCAGCACGGTGCTGCCAGCGTCGCCGGCACAGCTGTGCGCCATGCAAGCGGGCAGAAGGCATCCAAAGAAATCGAACCAAGGGCCAAGAAGCGAGGTCGTACGCCTGTTGGAGGCAACGCTAACCCCGCCAGCCGAGGACCTGTACCCCCCTCCGAGTGCTTTTGAGGACTTCTACGAACCAGTCGGCCCTTCTAGCTAAGACTAATGGCTTCTTAACGCGTGCACCGGGTTCTTCTAAGAACCTCAAGGTGCCTTCTGAGATGGCCGCGACCTTCTAAGAACCGAGGGCAGCGTCGCGAGCAGCGCCCAAGAGGTCCGAGTATATGGTGCGACGGGCGAGCGTGCTCCACAGGATGTTGCCTCTGAGTGCTCCCCGCTTCCACATGGCTTGGTTTGCTCATGCAGGCTTCCATGAGCACCACGGCATGCTGAATGCAACCTTGCGGCACCGTCTCAAAGCTGTGCCCCTCTCCACCACGGCAGCACGATCTCGTCCACGAGCTAAGCGTCTTCCTGTGGGCTCAAAAGTGTCGGTCGAACAGGCCAGAGCATCCAGCAATTTCGTGCTGAACAACCAGCCACGCTTGGCCAGCCGACACGGGCTGCAGCAAGCCGAGCTCACAAACAGCAGCCGGTCCCGCGATGACATCGGCAGTCTGAAGGCGGACTTTTCTGCAACGTCTTGAGGCACACGTCAACGGAGCTGACCAGCTGCCTAAGTATACCAATTTAGAACGGCACACGGCGGTGTTCTTCAAGGCCACTTGAAACGTGAAGGGGTGAGTTTGGGGCCTGAAAGGTAGCGACCTCCCAAAACTTCGGATCTGGAGTCCGACGTGCTGCCGTTATGTCATAGCTCCTCTGAGAGGGCAGCAATCCTGTGAAATGGGGGAGGATGTCCAACCACCCTTGTCTTGTCTTGTCCTGCACACAACTTTGGCCCTGAAACACTTGCAAACATGCGTCGTGGCGTGCCTCTCAAGAGTGAGAGCAACTTAAACTTTGAACTCGACACTATCCATGGCAGCGTGTCGATTCAGCTCAGTCAACCGACTGCAAGTCCACAGTCTGGCCCAATGCCGCGTGCATGACGAACATGTGGGCCGTCCCGTGGTGAGTGTGATGCGCCTGTGCTCTTTCATGGCATGCTGATCTGTTCGCACAGGCACCAGTATTTTCACTTACAGGCCAACAGACCCAACAGCAGTACACACCCCGCCGACACGGAAAGCGACACGGAAAGCTGCACCAAGCCGATACAGCAACTTGACATGGGCTCGGCAGGATGGGTGGCTGGACCTCATCTTGCCTCCTCCGCTACGTCATCTCTCACTTGGAGCAGTGGCGGTGGAGATCACGCCGCAAAAGAGGATGAGCTTGCTGCTGCTTCGTCGACAAGGGCTGCAAGAGCTGGGTGAAGCAACTCCACTAAGCCAATGCTCCCGGATAACGCGTCAGGCTTCTGATTTGTTCCGGTCCAACACTTATTCAATGTATTTTCGATGCTTGACTGGCGCTCACAAAACGGCAGCTGGTTCCGACATGGTCAGCAGAATGCGAACTGTATTTCTGCAAGGTCTCGAGGCTACAAGTATAATTTGAGAAGGGGCGAACATGGCGTTGTTCTTCAAGGTCTCTTGACACGTACAAGGGGTGAATTTGAGGCCTCAACGATACGAGTTCCCAAAACTTCGCATCTGGAGTCCGACGTGCTGAGTTGCGCCATACAGGAAGTGGAGCAGCAAGACAATGAACATCAACAGTTGGCGTTGGGGTCTGCCAGCATCCATGTCAGACCCTATTCCCTATTCAATGAGTCTCTGCCAGCACTTTGGCGAATTGGATAGAAGCCCAATTCAGCCCCCTCCCGCTTGCAGGTTCCATCCGCGGTGTTAAGGGACGCAGACGGAATCCGTCCACAAGCCCCCACAGGCCCCAAACATCCCGGCTCACAAGCGCGGGAGTCTTCAGTGGGCACTTCCATGTACTTCCGCAAAGGTCTGCAACGAGGCTTCCCCCGTTCAAGACACCCTCTATGTCAATGACCAGCCCCCCACTCTTTCAAGACCCTTCTGAACTGAGGGCATCATCGACACATCGCTGCACATCGGTCTCGTTGATTGAGATCTCAAATTCCGAAACGTGGTGAGGAGTGCAGCACGTAACAGGTGCAGACGTGCTCATAGGCACCCCCAGGCACAAGCAAGCGCGTGCGTGTGAGCCCTTGCGGATCTCTAGAACACCTACCCTTACTTCTGAGGGCAGCGCGAAGCTAACCCAACATAATGGGAGTGCAACACGCACAAACAAGCTCAAAGGCCTCTCTTGGCGCCGCAAGGTGGGTGGATTTTCAACCGCTCCTTCTTCCTCCGTACTTGAGCTCGGTCTGACGTGCACACGTCTTGGGCCTATCAAAACCCCATAAAAAGGCATAGCTACGGGCATAACATGCACGCCGCCGACATTTCTGCACCAAGCCGGTAAAGCAAGCTAATGTGGACCTCCACAGGATCGGGGTCTTGGCCTCATCATGCCTCATCTACTAAGTCACTTGCAGCAGCGGCGGTGGAGATCATGCCGCGACAGATGACGAGCTTGTGAACGCTTCGCCAACAAGGGCTGCAAGAGCTGGACCGCGCTACTGAACGCGGCAGCAGGCACCAGCATAGGACTGCGCCCCTGCTCACTTGCTTGCAGACTAATGACCCTGCATGCGCATCGGCCCTTAAGAGGAGGGGGCACTCCACTCACAAGGCCCGGCAGAGTCTCACAAGTGACAAACCCAAGGCGTCCGAAACTGTACTGGGCAGCCCCGGCAAGTGCACAAGCAGGTCAAAGCCCTGCGGTACTGGATGCAAACTGCGGCGGACCAGCTGGTTCTGGCACGCCTTGCATGCGTCGTCTGACCTGATGCGACATGAACTAGAGGCAGAGCAACCCAAATCAACAAATCCGGAGTTGTAGCTTTTGTGGTGTCACGAGAGCCAACCAGTCCAGAGGACTGACAGTCGCACGGATCGCGCACGAAGCCAGGGCGTCGGAAGCCTCACAAGGTTCATGATCGCACTTTTGCTGGGAGCAATGTGCCGAAAGAGCCAGCCAAAGCTGACAGAGCAGCGGAAAAAATGCTCCGTGCCTCCAGAAGCTCCACTAGAATGCCCGGATCAAGTGAGGGAAGGGTGTCGTGGCTGGCGATTTTGTGTCCTCCACTTAGTCGACTCTACCGGAGCCGAGGCGGCCAACCCTGAAACAAGCTGGCCATCTTGCCCACATTCCCCGTGCACCCCAGACTGGGCGCAACTCCCTCGCTTAGCTCGAATACAGCAAGTTCCTTGCAGGATGCTGCGAAGGCAGGAGCTGGAATCTCGACTGCAAAATTTTGGGAACGCTGTGGACCTGCACGAGGAGCTGCATTTACCATGCAGGGTCAAGAGAGCAGTTGAGCTAGTTCTAAGATATGCAGAAGGGAAAGCGAGGTGCCCAAAACATCCCGCTTCCCATCCGACGTGGGCTTGGGGTCCCGCTTTTCCTGCATCCGGACGGGTACCTTTGCACACGCGCTCTGAGTGTCCACGCAATGGCCGACGAGATAGCCACAACCAAACTTTCCACCTGAAGAGCCTATAGCAGTGGTTTGGCCCGGAAGGAAGGCAAGACGGACTTTGCCGAAGTGTTGTGGGATGCCCTGTATATGGCCTTATGAGCGATGGGAAGCTTGAGTTTTTCACCTGTCTCATTGATGCCGGCCTCGACTCTGACTGAGCAGCAGTAGCAGTGGTCGATCTCAGGACTTGACGGGAAACCCAGCACCCATACTTTGTGCGTGATTTGCGCGTGATGATAATGATGCAGACTGTGTGAGCTTGCCGGTAGGTGTACGCTGCTGTGTTTGGACTTCATGAGACCCCTGACCTCCACATTCACTGGGACTATACAAAAATTTGTTATACCCCGACCGAAAGCCCCGCGTCTGACACTAGGCGTTGCAGTCCCTGACACCTCGGTCTCCTGACACAGTGCGCTGGTGACTGGTTTCAACCTCTCGTGCCCTTGGCTTCATGACCTCTCGTGCTTCTAAGCCTCTAAGCCTCTAAGAGCTTGCAGCGTGGAAGTCTGAAACATCAACTGCTCCGAGAAACGCTAGGGCAGCTGGCATCGCTGCCAAGCAGTCTGAGAGTCTGCCTCTGCACAGCGTAGGTTGCTAGACTCCCACTGACCTCGTATTGCAGGCCACGCGAGCTGCATGGAGCAGCGCTTCCACCGCCAAGCGCAAGCATCTTGTGGGGAGCATGCCGCGCCTAATAGACTCGGGCCTAATAGACTCGGGCCTAGTGGATCGCGCGCCAGGCAATCCAAACGTGTTGATTATACCACGAGTCGCGCTCACGCCCACTTCCTCCCGAACATCTAAGCGGGGAAGGAGAGGCTGGTGTTCAGCACGCCCGGCAGCAAGCCTCGTATCATCCACGGTAGCCCTCCTCAGGCCAATCATGGCCAATCCATGGCCCGCGCCCCACTTTGGACAATCGCTCAACTCAAGATTCACTTTGCAAGTACCACAGTCTTGGAGCAGTTGCTCGAGCATGCTGCAGGCGCTGAAGGCAAGGCAAACAAGCACCCGAACATACGAACAACCTTACAGCTAGGGAAGGCGGTGATCTAATTACAGCACCATTCGCGCTGCATCTTTTCTATCGTCAAATCAAATGTCAATTGTTTCCATGATTGCTGGTGCTGCTGCATGCCCAGCTTGGAACAGCAGTCTTGCACCAATTTACAAGCAAAAGCAACTTGTTGCGAGCACACTGCGTACTACGTTCAACCGATGAATGCACAAACTCACATCTGCTGCAATGCACCACGTGCCCGTGAAACGAAACACGTTCATGTAGATCCTGCCGATGGCATAGCTCACGCCAGGACGGCAGGATAGATCTCATTGCAACCATGTTGGCGAGCCGGCATTCGGCACATCCACACTTGCCACCACTCTCGTCAGCAAGCCTTATGTCATCCGATGTCCCGCGATAGCTCATGCACTGCAGCCTCGAGCGCCTGTTCACGGCAGGTCTGCTCAGGCCAATCAATGACTGGAACAGACCTTGCAGATGTCGTGCTGGACCATCGCTTAGCCGCTCAACTCAAGATACGCTTGGCGCTCTGGACATAGTGGAGTTGCTCGCGCATGCAGCAGACGCTGAAGACGAGGCAAGCAATCACCAGCACATAGCAGCCCTACAGCTAGGGAAGGCGGTGCTCTAAGGAGAGGCGCCCACGACATTCGCGTCACGGAGGCTTCATTCCAGCTAGGTCCGCAAATGCTGGCGGTGCATCGTGCTTGGAACGGAACCGCCTCTCTCAACTGACAAGCGGCAGCAAATTGAAGGGAGACAGCACGTCTTGGAGATGGCATCTGATGGACCGAACGAAATATGTGGATCGTGTGCAAACGGAAGGACTGAGCCTATGGCAGCGGTGTGCATGAGCTGCAGTAAGCGCTATATGGACTTAGAGGAGTTGCGCGTGCACGCTGCAGACGCTCAAGACAGGGAAAGCAGTCACTGGCACAAACGAAGAGCCCTGCTGCTAGGAGAGGCGGTGCTCTATGTAAGGAGACAGCGCGAGGCGCTTCAGCATTCGAGCTTTTCCACAGGGCAACTTGCAAGCATTTTGCCCTGATCTGAAAGGGAAAAGTCTCCTCGAAGGGGGCTCAGCTCCTTCCATCCTGGCTCGGGCACCTTCCCAGCATTGTCGGTGCGTGAATCTGGCCGTCGTCAGGTAGAAGCAGTCTACCTGGACAGTCGGGCAGGCTTGCTGCGACCCTGCAAAAGCAAGAACTTTTTGAAAGCCGAGCGATACTTCTGAAAGATATCATGGAAGCCTTTTGGTCCTAGATTAGTGCTTAATAGTGCTGAATAAGGCTAAATAAGGTGGAACTAGTAACCAGTGCCAATGTAGCTAGTGTTGGGTTCTTTGGTGATTAGGTTTATATGTCATCCTCCTGCCCCGCACCAGCGGCCACCCAACATCAACCAAAACCTTACCAGGAGCTCTTCGAACGACCAAAGTCACACTCCGACAGGCGTAGCCCAACTGTACCAAGCCGAAACCACTCAGACCTCCCCCCTGCGTCGGCAGGCTATCTTGGCATAGGGAGTTCATGTAGAAGAGAAGAATCACGCATGCACCCATTCAGGGTGCGCCGATCCTGCGCGCATGCCCATACATGGACCAGCCACCGCCACGTCTGGATTCCATGCAGGTCCTGTAGGCTACCGGGAGCCTGGAGCCTGAGTTAGTCGCAGCAGATGGGCAATGTCCCATGCTTCTGGCGAATTTACGGGCGTGTTTGCCACCCAACGCGTCAGAAGTCATTTGAGCCCCGTTTGCGCAGAAGACGCCCCGTAGCTGCAGAAGTCGACCCGAAGTCTTTTCCCATTCAAGAGCCATGCCTCCAAACCGATTTTGGGCTACGCACAGCTGTACCTTCGCGATTGCCTTTGCCAAGGACCTGTACCACAAGCCAAAATCATCTTCAACCGACCTCCCTCCTGCAGGGCACAAGCTCCTTTCAAAGAGCCACGTTGACCGAAGTGTTGAAGGCTTCTGCAGTCGGGGTTGAGGGTTGAGGGGGTTTCGGTTATAGGATCCCCCTTGCGTCTGTGTGCTCAGGCTACATGTGTACTTACATGGCTTCGTGTAAACTGAAAACGGGTTCATGTAGCCCCAGAAGTTGGCCTGCGCTGGGAGACTCACTCGCCTGGAAAGGTTTTGGATACCTGGACCCTTACAGAGCCCGCTGCAGGACGGGCACTGGGCTGGGGGACCGGGTCGCCAAGCAATTTTGGCCTCCTCAACCCCCCTTCCCGGCTAGTCTCTAGTAGAGATTAGATCTATACAAGTGAACTAAACTAAAATGCCTTTTGGCCATGTAGCCCCCCCCCATTCCAGTCTCACAAAAGCAAGAGGGATGTTATAGGTGTGTCCGCTTGGTTGGGGCTTTGCCTCGAGCTTATTAAGGCACCACCGTGGATTTCATGGTTTCTGTTCTTCTGCAATGTTCGGCGACCTGCACAGTCTCCTTGTAGCTTGCCGCCCGACCACCTTGGCCAAGCGAACAGACTCTGGTCGCACGGTCCCCGTGCAACATTTCCATTTCAGTCATTTCTCACTGTGGTGGGCCTCAGGCAACGACTCACTTAGCATTTCATCTCTACATCACGGCTCTAGGGCTCCGACGTTGGATCTCTAAGACTCGGACTCTAAATTGAAACCCTGTCCCACTAGTCCGGACAACGCCGCTCACACCCGGCAGTGTTGCCACCTTCCTCCTGGCGCCCACCGCGCCTGGGGCCGGAAGAAGATCGTCGTGTGGCCGACTAGCATGAATCATGCATCAGGCTTGCTGGCAGGCCTGCAGCCCCATCTCCCAAACGCCTTCTGAATCCACGTCGTCACAGGTCTTTTGCGCACGGGGTAGCTTGAAAATGGTGGCTGTGGCACCGGCTCGACATCTTGGCAACGCAGTGGACTTGCATTTCTTGAGTTAGGGGGCTGCCACAGCCCACGGGGAGGTGCTAAGAGGATGCCTTTTCAAACATTCCTTTGCTTACTAGGACGCTTGTCTCGCAAGCCTGGTTATTATACATCAACTGAGTATTTGCAAGGGTGGGGTGGGGGGAACCTCCTTACCTCTGGACCCGGATTGAATTTGGGCCCGTCTGAGTCTATCTCATTCTCTCTATCGACTTGGGAATCGAGGTGGGGTTCGAGCATCCTTGCTACCCCGGCTTGCCGCAGTTTTTGGCTGACCCCATGGGATCCCACATGAACCCCCCATCTGCAGTATGTGCGCAGGCTGCACCTCCAAGCACATGGCCTTACAAGGCCCACAGGATGCCAGAAACGAGTAGGGTCCGAAGTATGGACCCCTAATTTCGGGTCGCGCAAGAATCCCAGGCTCGGCTTAGGGCCCATAAAACGGGCCGGAGTACGGGCTGCAATGACCATGATTGTTGTGTGCGCGTATACATGCATGGAATCGTTCACCCTGATCTGCATGCTCTGCCTTGAAGCAGCTCAGACTCTGTCACTTGCACCACATGCACCACATTCCTATCGCTGTGCTCAAGTGGCTGGGCACAATAAGGGGGAAGACCTGCACTTTAGGTAGTACCGTGTATAGGGGCCATCGGGGCAATCGATTCCCCACAGAACGGTGCCCCAAGAAGAAAGTCACATTCAGCTTCGGTTTCCCACGCATCCCGTTCCCAGCCCTGAGCCTCTGACCAAAGGTGTAGAGGCAGTATAACTCTTTCGCAGGCTGCATTGCCCGAGCGATGCCCCGAGTAAAGCACCGACTCGAATCCCTTCTGCTCCTGCAAGCGTAGAATACACTACGTTGGAACACGCAACAGCGCAAAAGGTGCGGAACTGGGCTCTCTGATATGGATGCGGGGGCCGAGAGCGAGGGACCTGGGAGTTTGCGAGCCTTCACAGCCGCAGGGCCAGGCAGGGGCCAGGTCTCACCTCTGTATCCCGCAAAGGATGCGTGCTCACCATCGTCGAGCGCGACAATCAAACCTGCGGCTTTTAGCGGATGAGCTGCAGGAGTCGACGCTGTGGGAACTGGGGAGGTCCGAAAGAGGGGGCAACCTGTTTCAAGCTATCAGCCAGGCATGCATGCTGACAACCTATTTGGAGCGGCCCGAATTGAATTCCGACCACTTCGACAGACCTCAAGCGACCGTAGCGACTGTGTAGCTTCTTGAAGAGCACTCAGAGCCATAGACTAGCCCACGGCGGCACGGGTCCGTCGAAGCATGATTGGGTACAGGTATTAACTGAGTGTCTGCGATTTCAGGCTGCAGGAGCACCAGCTGACGACGCTTTCTCAGCAGAGGGAAGTACCGGTCGACATGCCATTCATCTGCTGCAAATGGGGTGAAGTGGCAGGGGTGTGCAGCTCTCGTTGTGGTATGGCGCGAGGATGCGCGAGGTCTCACATGCACCAGGCCTGCTCGCACATGAGGATAAGGGGGGCTTTAGGGTGTTTCGGTGAAAGGGGGTGGGCAGTGGGCAGGTCTTTTTCATGGAGCTGTCCGCGCTAAGGCCCCTTTCTGAAGCCCTTCAGCCTGATCTGAATATGAAATATCTGATTGAAGCGCTTCAGCTCCTTCGATTCCGGACCTCGGGCACCTTCCCAACATGGTTGGGTACACGACTGTCCGACTGTAACATACTGTAACCAGCGATCGTCAGGCCACGGATCGAGCAATAGGGACGGTCACCGTGGAGGTACGAGGGCAAGGCTTGCCTGCTGAACAGCACGGCCTACAACTCACATAGTGGCAAGCGGTTCTCTGGTAGCTCTTGCACACTGAACACGCCAAAGTGGAACTCCCAACTGGGGCTCTGCATGCTTATCTTCTTTGGATCAAGCGCTGCGCGAGGCTTGAGGCATGTAGGTAATGACCGACCATTGGCGCACGTGGCACACCTCGGCAGCTGAGACAGAGAGGCTTGCGCTGCAATGAAACGTGAACCTTACAGCTGGGTCCCAGACGGTTCCCGGCCATGCCAGCCACAATGAAGGAACGCGAAGGCAATTCAGAATGCTGAAGCCTACGGCTGAGGCTCGCCTGGCGCTGTGCGCATGGCGCCACCTCTGTGTCCCTGCAAAGGATACGTGCTCACCATCGTCGAGCCCAACAATCAAACCTCCGGCTTCCAGCGGATGAGCTGCAGGAGTCGACGCTTCGGGAACAGGGGAGGTCAGTCCCCATACAGGTGGCAGAAGCCTCACGAAGCCGAAAGCACGAAGCCCTCGCAGGAAAGCTGGCTTCTGCAGCCTTTGTTCATATCCAGGTAGGTATGTTGCTTCGGGGGCCTGCTGACACTCCCGTCCTGGCAGCCTGCGCATGGCCCGACAACCTTTTGTTGAGTGGCCGGAATTCCGCCCACTCGACAGACCTCAAGCGTCTGTAATATGACTGTAACTTCTGGGAGAGCAGAGCCTTATAGACTAGACTGGAAAGCGCACGGCGGCATGAGTCCGTCGAAGCGGCATGTTGGCTGAGGGTCGCAGCTGACGACGCTTTCTCAGCAGAGGGAAGTACCGGTCGACATGCCATTCATCTGCTGCAAATGGGGTGAAGTGGCAGGGGTGTGCAGCTCTCGTTGTGGTATGGCGCGAGGATGCGCGAGGTCTCACATGCACCAGGCCTGCTCGCACATGAGGATAAAGGGGGCTTTAGGGTGTTTCGGTGAAAGGGGGTGGGCAGTGGGCAGGTCTTTTTCATGGAGCTGTCCGCGCTAAGGCCCCTTTCTGAAGCCCTTCATCCTGATCTGAATATGAAATATCTGATTGAAGCGCTTCAGCTCCTTCGATTCCGGACCTCGGGCACCTTCCCAACATGGTTGGGTACACGACTGTCCGACTGTAACATACTGTAACCAGCGATCGTCAGGCCACAGATCGAGCAATAGGGACGGTCACCGTGGAGGTACGAGGGCAAGGCTTGCCTGCTGAACAGCACGGCCTACAACTCACATAGTGGCAAGCGGTTCTCTGGTAGCTCTTGCACACTGAACACGCCAAAGTGGAACTCCCAACTTGGGCTCTGCATGCTTATCTTCTTTGGATCAAGCGCTGCGCGAGGCTTGAGGCATGTAGGTAATGACCGACCATTGGCGCACGTGGCACACCTCGGCAGCTGATTTAGATAGCTCCTAGATTGAGATAGGCTTGCACTGTGCATTGAAATGTGAATCCTACAGCCGGGCCCCAAACTCTTCCCAGCCATCAGCAATCCGCGACGAACGGGCAGGAGCTGTAGAAATCTTTAGAATGCTGAAGCCTGCGGTTGAGGTTCGAAAGACCTGAAAAATGCAGGGAGGCTTGGGGTGGGGTGCGACTCGGCTTTTTTTCCCGTGTAGGCCCTCCCTGAACACCCAACCCACGGTTCGCCACGTTTGGGGGGGTTGGAGCTCGAGCCTGCAGCAGCACTTCCTGAAAGCCCGTACAGTTTAGTTTATCCGAAGTTTCGTTGTCTGCCTGCGTCGCTTGACACGCCGTTGGCTCAACAAGACGTAAACACATTATGTGTGGAATGCGCATGTACAGTTGGATGCCGCTGGTAGAGGTTGTGCTTGTATCTGTAAATCGGTAACTATAGTAACAAGCCTTGGGTACAAGGGGGGGCGGGGGGGACTCTGTAGTAGTAGTAGTAGTAGTAGTAGTAGTAGTAGTAGTAGTAGTAGTAGTAGTAGTAGTAGTAGTAGTAGTAGTAGTAGTAGTAGTAGTAGTAGTAGTAGTAGTAGTAGTAGTAGTAGTAGTAGTAGTAGTAGTAGTAGTAGTAGTAGTAGTAGTAGTAGTAGTAGTAGTAGTAGTAGTAGTAGTAGTAGTAGTAGTAGTAGTAGTACTAGTAGTAGTAGTAGTAGTAGTAGTAGTAGTAGTAGTAGTAGTAGTAGTAGTACTAGTAGTACTAGTACTAGTACTAGTACTAGTAGTACTAGTACTAGTAGTACTAGTACTAGTAGCTAGTACTAGTAGCAGTAGTAGCAGTAGTAGCAGTAGCAGCAATAGCAGCAATAGCAGCAATAGCAGTAGCAGTAGCAGTAGCAGTAGCAGTAGCAGTAGCAGTAGTAGTAGTAGTAGTAGTAGTAGTAGTAGTAGTAGTAGTAGTAGTAGTAGTAGTAGTAGTAGTAGTAGTAGTAGTAGTAGTAGAAGTAGTAGTAGTAGTAGTAGTCGTCGTCGTCGTAGTAGTAGCTTGCCAGGACTCGCTCTTGAGGCGAGGAGCAGGTTCGCCCTCTGGCAGTTTCTGCATTATGGTACGGCTCCACGACACAGCTGGGTACAGACTTTATGCGGACGCGCTTGCTGTGCTAAGGGTGACGGGCTCCGGCCACCAAAGGGCGGAGCTGGCCACGGCACGTCTCACGGGCGGGGCAAGCCAAGGGTATGGCGCTTAGTAGTAGTAGTAGTAGTAGTAGTAGTAGTAGTAGTCGTCGTCGTCGTCGTAGTAGTAGCTTGCCAGGACTCGCTCTTGAGGCGAGGAGCAGGTTCGCCCTCTGGCAGTTTCTGCATTATGGTACGGCTCCACGACACAGCTGGGTACAGACTTTATGCGGACGCGCTTGCTGTGCTAAGGGTGACGGGCTCCGGCCACCAAAGGGCGGAGCTGGCCACGGCACGTCTCACGGGCGGGGCAAGCCAAGGGTATGGCGCTTAGTAGTAGTAGTAGTAGTAGTAGTAGTAGTAGTAGTAGTAGTAGTAGTAGTAGTAGTAGTAGTAGTAGTAGTAGTAGTAGTAGTAGTAGTAGTAGTAGTAGTAGCGGCAGTAGTAGTGGGAGCAGCAGCAGCAGAAAACAGTAGTAGCAGTAGTAGCAATAGTTTCAGACGTAGCAGTAGGAGCAAGAGTAGCAGCAGTAGTAGTGGGAATAGTAGTAGTAGTAGTAGTAGTAGTAGTAGTAGTAGTAGTAGTAGTAGTAGTAGTAGTAGTAGTAGTAGTAGTAGTAGTAGTAGTAGTAGTAGTAGTAGTAGTAGTAGTAGTAGTAGTAGTAGTAGTAGTAGTAGTAGTAGTAGTAGTAGTAGTAGTAGTAGTAGTAGTAGTAGTAGTAGTAGTAGTAGTAGTAGTAGTAGTAGTAGTAGTCGTCGTAGTCGTAGTCGAGGTCGTGGGCGTAGTCGTAGTCGTGGTCGTAGTCCCGGTCGTGGGCGTAGTCGTAGACGCAGTCGCAGTCGCCGTCGCAGTCGTCGTCACAGCCGACGTCGTCGTCGTCGTAGTAGTAGTAGTAGTACTAGTACTAGTACTAGTACTAGTACTAGTACTAGTACTAGTACTAGTACTAGTACTAGTACTAGTAGTAGTAGTAGTAGTAGTAGTAGTAGTAGTAGTAGTAGTAGTAGTAGTAGTAGTAGTAGTAGTAGTAGTAGGAGTAGTAGTAGTAGTAGTAGTAGTAGTAGTAGTAGTAGTACTAGTACTAGTACTGGTACTGGTACAAGTACTAGCACTAGTAGCACTAGTACTAGTTAGTATTGTAGTGGTAGTGGTAGTGGTAGTGGTAGTGGTAGTAGTAGTAGTAGTAGGAGTAGTAGTAGTAGTAGTAGTAGTAGCAGTAGTAGTAGTCGTAGTAGTAGTAGTAGTAGTAGTAGTAGTAGTAGTAGTAGCAGTACTAGTACTAGTACTAGTACTAGTACTAGTACTAGTACTAGTACTAGTACTAGTACTAGTAGCAGTAGTAGCAGTAGCAGCAGTAGCAGTAGCAGTAGCAGTAGCAGTAGCAGTAGCAGTAGTAGTAGTAGTAGTAGTAGTAGTAGTAGTAGTAGTAGTAGTAGTAGTCGTCGTCGTAGTAGTAGCTTGCCAGGACTCGCTCTTGAGGCGAGGAGCAGGTTCGCCCTCTGGCAGTTTCTGCATTATGGTACGGCTCCACGACACAGCTGGGTACAGACTTTATGCGGACGCGCTTGCTGTGCTAAGGGTGACGGGCTCCGGCCACCAAAGGGGGGGGAGGGGGGGGCTGCAAATTCCGCAAGTCACTTTTTCTCCATGCTGGGCGAGCGCGCTGCTCGTTTCTGCATGCTGGAAGCATCCACGATCCCATTACTTCAGGCTGCGTGGTACATCTCTCCGGCTCACTCCCGGTTTGCTTGTACGCTTGAGGCACGAACCGCCTGCGCAACAGTTCTTCGAACACGCCCCATGACCGTCACGCAAGGCAGCCTTGCGGACCTATTACAGTGCCAAGGAAAGGCGGAGATGAGGTCAGGCTAAAGTCGTCAGGCTGAGTCGTCCCGTCCCGCCGCATTTGTGAAGGGACGCCAATGCCTCCATCTTGCGCCCGAGCTCCGGCATGTCAAGCGATGGTATGCAAGTTGCTCCAAGAACTCCTAAGGTTTACCAGGTACTTGAGATGCGTGATTTTGTTGTGTGCGCGCAAGCGTCAGCACAAAGGGATGTGGGTGCGCGCAGAAGGAGAAACAGGACAAGCCATCGCGGCCATGACGACTTTTGCGAGCTTCCCTTGCGTGCTTCGCCAAGGGCGTGCTTAGAAGTGCAGAGAGCCGTCCTCCACAAGGCTCACAGCCACCCAGATCTTCCAGGCTTCGTTGCCTTGCTCTGCTGTCGCTGCAAAGAGGCAGAGCGGATGTAGGGAGAACGAAGAGATGCGCTGCATGCGAAGACACCGAATCCTCCTTGCAGCACCTCCGCGGGTGTCACAACCTGAGGGTCCTTCGGCCTGGGCTGCCTGCTTCGACGAGAAAGGAATCAAAGTGAACAACCACCTCGCCCCTGACCCTGCGTGCTGTGCCGGTACTCCTTGTCGGAACGAGCTGCACTCCTGCACGTGCCCCTACGGGAACAAGCGAAGGCGACAATGGGCTGGCACCCTGCGCCTGCGTCTCCAGGCAATCTTTGCCCGCCTGGCCGAAGCTTGCCACAAGCGAGGTGTCGATGGACGGAATCGAAGCCAAGCCCGTGCCTGAGTCAGCCCGCTCGCTCTGTGGGGTAGTGTAGCTTCTCGCTACTCACCCCTTGCTTATCGCATTCGGAGGTGCGCAAAGCAAGGTGTTACGAACCTGATATTCAGAATCGGACTTGCACTTCTGCCGCATTCGCCAGCAGAAGCCGGCTGAAGGCGGCAAAATGCTACATCGCGGAGACGAACGTCGCAGCATCGAGCAATGATTCCGCACACGTGACGCTTGCATGCCATGGGCAATGGGATGACATCAGCCTGTGCGCGAATGTTGGTCTTCAATGCCCACAGGGGAAGTCAAACCGACTCATCAAAACGCACATGCCGCAAAGCGAACGCAAGAACATGCAGGTGCTGTTTTGCCAAGATGCATGCAGTGAAGGCACACATCATGCTCTTTGTCACTTGCTTACGTTCGCTGCCTGCTTCAAGCATCTCTGTCATCCGGGGTCGGGCCATGCAGCACTGACTGCCTGCACAAGGCAGTATTTGCACTGAGAAGGCTAGCATCCAGCAAACTTGCAAGCAACCCTATGTTTATCTTCTGTGGATCACCTGCCGCTCGAGGCTTGAGGCATGTAGGCAATGACCGACCATGGGCACACGCGGCACACCTTGGCAGCTGATTTAGATGGCTCCCTCGCATTGCAATGAAACGTGAACCCTACCGCTGGGCCGCAAACGGTTCCCAGCCATCAGCCAGCCGCAATGAGGAATGCTGAAGCCTACGGCTGAGGCTCGAGAGAGCGACCTGAAAATTGCAGCGAGGCTTGGGGTCGGGCGCAGGCTCTCCCTGAATGCCCCACCCACGGATATCAATGAAACGCTGGGAAATCACCATGGACCATGAGCATCATTCGGTTTTGTCTCTTCGCGGCTTTCGGGGTTCGCCACGTTTGGAGCAGCACTTCCTGAAAGCCCGTAAAGTTTAGCTTAGCTTAGGCTCTCCGAACTTTCGTTTTCTGCCTGCGCCGCTTGACACACCAAGGGCTCAACAAACACCCTTGGTGTGCCCATTGTCGACAGTCTGGTGTCCGGATGACATTGGCCGTGAGTCCAAGTAGCTCTTGACCGCTCTGCATCTGGAGATCAGGCCGGAAGGGCCATAGCCCGGCATCTTGATTCGACCCGACAAAACAATCGTGCAAAGACTTTACATATCTGTACATGGATGTCCATCAGAACATGGCAATGTACAAACTTCTGGGAGGTTCTTCCTGCACCTTGCAACCCTTGCAAAAGATGCGTGCGAGGTGCACACTGTGCAGGCGCGCGTTTGTTTATGTCACGATTGTCTGCAAGAATGCAAGTAATCATACATACGAAAACAGATTATGCCGCGTGGAAACGAGCAGTTGATGCTAGGAACATGCCTGTAAGTAGGCAAATCCCACTAAAGTTGAATCAGCGCAGATCGAGGGAATGGAGCGTTCGCACGCACATGTTGACGGTTCTTCTCTCAGGGACTTACACTAAAGGAATAGCACGGTGCACGGTACGAACTTGCAAGATCGCAGGTGCCTCCACGCAATTGAAATGTGCGTGATAGCTCTAATAAGGCATGAACAAATGTGAGTTTTTCCTGTTGCTTCTATGCATTCAAGGCCTGGCGTGCCAGTTTTCAGAAACCGATGAGCTACCACGCGTGCTGCTGTAGGCAGTGCTGTAGGCCCTCAGGCCTGCCTCTATGTGTGACTCCTTGAGGGCCACGAGGCAATAAAGCAGAGTTGGACAATGGGCTGCAAAGACTGGATAGACGTGTTGCTGAAACTTAAAACTGAGTGGAGCCCACCCAAATGGCCGGGACATAGGCGCCATTGTCCAATCTGTGTCCAATCTGTTGCCTTGCTTGAAAGTCATTGCTTCAGGTGGGTCTGGACAACACCTGCCGATGATGTTTTGGAGCGATCTGCATCACAAAAACGAAGGAGAGAATCGGATGCTTTACAGACCTGTGCATATCTGAGCATGAGACAGCAGGATCCTTCACCAAAACTTTCGCTAACTACGCCGCTTTGGCATCTTAAAATTCGACAGGGTCATGAGCATCAGCCTCGTGATGGCTCATGATCCTGCGCCCGATATGGCAGAGCACACAGCCTGTGAATTTTAAAGACGTTAGCACCTGCCAAGTGGTTCTTACCTCAGATGGGCTGGCTCTGACAGAGCGTCGGTGCATATCTGCATGTCAGACACGCAACACGTTGTCAGGACACGCTAATAAACATTCTGCAAACACATTTGGCGGCAAGCAGCGGTTCAAATCAGGGAAGCTCTCACGAATCGTCACACAACATTGAAACAGATGCCTCAAGCCATCGTAGCCCCTCGCCGCCGGTCAGCTACGCTTGCTCTTCTCCCACGGAGTTTTAAAGACCAGAATGCTCAGTCCAAGGGTCACCTGGCAAGCGCTTAAAGCGACTAGGGTTTGTCTCTGACTTCCCTCTTGCGCGACTTAGTCAAGCTATGCCTAGTTGACTGACTGGTCAGGAGATTGAGGTGCCAGATTAGGGTCTAGGTCGTTTTCAACACGTGGCAGAGGCAAAGGGCCAAGGAATCCTTTCCTTTGATCACTCAGGCTCCTGCGAAGACTTGGCTGTTGAGATCTGTTGAGTCTCCGTCCGGGTCTGCTCCGATCGTCTTCAGAGCAGCTTGAAGGCCGCATCGATTGCTTGGCAAAGGTTTGAAAGCTTCACTCCGCCTTGGCGGAAGTCAGCAAGGGCAGCTCTGGCAGCTTGTGCTCTCGCAGCTGGCAAAACCCGAATGTCTTCGGCTATATCGGCCGCCATCCTTCTTCGCCTATTTTTGTCCTTGGGGATTTGCGGAACTCTTGTCAAATACACTTCGGCAAAGACCTCATTGGCAGGGATGTCCCAGGACTTCATGCGCTCGTATGCAGCCAGCAAGAATTCAAGTGGGGCGGCCTGGTACGCACCAACCAGAGATAACCAGAGCACTGAAAGCAGCCACGTCCGGTTCCAAGCGCATTTCCAACAGTCGGTCGAAGAGAAACAAGGCAGCGTTGTGTGAGGAATGCTGTGCCGTTGCACACGCATGAATTGCAGATGTGAAGTGGCCCAAATCTACTTCACAATTTTTAGTGTTGATCAATTCGTCCAGCACACCAGCTGCGCTTTCAACGTCTCCTTCATCAGCAGCAGCATCAATCCGGGCCGCTGCTAATGCCTCATTCAGCTCGCACGAGCCCCGTGCCTCACGCCATATTTCTCGAACTCGATTCATCAAGCCTAGTTTGGCAAACAGTTTCATAGCCAGCGTGTATACGGGAGGGTCTTTCTCTAAACTGAAGGAGCAGACTTTCTCATATGTATCGGCCCCAAAATGGTACTGACGACATCTAAAGGCTGCGTTCATGACAGTCGTGTATATTGCGACCGCACGACCGTCGTAGCCTGCAAAAAGGGCTTTAACCGCCTGCCAGTCGCCTCGCTTGGCTGCATCTTGCATGTCGGCGAGCAGCAGTTTCTCGGGAGGACGTAAATAAAATTGACCTCCTGCCTCTGTCCGGAACTTGCTCCCGCCGGTCCTTTCTCTCATCAAACTGAGAGGCTCTTGCAGCTTTGGGTTTTTAGCCTTATGGGCGCCGTCCTTGCAGGAAAACGTTCTCAGCACCGCAGAATTCCATCCACAACACGTTGCATGAAACAGAACCAACCATGCAGGCCATGCCCTCCACATAGCGAACAAACAACGAAAGGAACCTCTCTGCCGCAGGGCAAGCAGGTGGTCTTGATCTGAAACTTCTGCCTTTGATTCGATTTGAGCTCTATGCAGGTTCAACCTTAGAATAATGTTAATGTCGACCTGCGAAATGCTGCACCACAGGCTGCAAACAGAAACGGCCCTGTGCCATCCGCTGCCCAGGCCTGCGCGATCAAGCCAAATGCTGCCTGCGGAAATTTGCGCACGTACTGAGCGAGGCTTATATTACAACTGTGCGTCAGAGACCGAGGCTCTCAACAGCTTTACCTCTGAAAAAAGTACCAGAGAACTCAGCGTGATGTTCACGTGTGGGAGATGAGACAAGGACCCATGCATGTCATGTGCCCGCACGAACTTAAAAGAGCGGAAGGTCCTTGGACACCCCAAAGCCTCTGCAAGCAATGTCATCTAGTCCCTGAAAATTCCCCGCCCAAGCGGATATGCCGGCTGCAAAACAAGAATATCACATAACTAATGGCGCAGATACATATATCAGGCGCGTGCCACTTGCACATACTTGTACGCTCACAGGCATTCCGCCAATCAGCAAGGTGCAGGTCTAATGCAAAACCTTCTGCGTTACCCGTTGCACCTGGCACTGAAGTGCTTGTCGCGCAACACCAATCAAGAATGCAGCACTTTGGGGTTGGTGTGGTCAGCTAGATGGCTTCATGTTGCTTGCAAGCCCTCGAAAGCCCTGATGCCTTCAGCCGGGTGTCCCCAACATATGGAAACCTCGGTGCCGGGCATTTGCGGCTGAGGATTTGACAGCTGTATTTTGGGAGTTGAAGTGCAACATTCGTGAGACATTAGTTCCTAGCCTTGAGGACGGCTTTTGCGTCTTTCCAGGGTTTAAACACGTGTAGCGCGCTGAAGCAGCTGCAGACTGGCAGCTCGGTAAGCAACATCTCCTCGCCGTACCAGCCGGCCCACCTGCTGTGAAGGTTTGCACTCTGAAGGTAAGGCGGCTGTGTCACGTGTGCCGTCGAACCAAGGTTTTGCAGCATGGCGGCTGCAGCCAAGTAGATTACATTCTGTATAAAATAAAGTACTTTAGCCGGCACGTTACTTAGCGTGAGCCACTCTGCATCTCTCAAAAGCAGACTCCTGACTACGGGATGAGGTCGGCACCATTGCACCAGCAGCAATGCGAAGCAGGACCAGCCTGCGGTGGAGGCTGTGCCAAATGTAGGTTCCTGGATCCAAGCAACTCGACCCAGAAGTTGCAGGCCTATGCCCTGCAGGAAGACGTGAAGGTAGCCCCCCTGGAAGGGCATCCACAGCCGGTAGGCAGGCTGCCTGAAAGCGCAGGCCGGTTTAGGGGACGTGAAGTTGTTGCTTCACGAACTATGAGAAAGAAACGGCAAACAATCCAACATCGAAGCTCTTGCACCATTCTGTCTAAGCCTATGGTCGGCGTGCAAGCATCCTGTGAGACTTGTGAGCCATGGCAGCCCGGGCACGTCACGAAGCCACAAACGTGTGTGGCAGGCGAGGAGACAAAGAAGCCGAACTGGCAAAGACCTGCAGTTCGTGTACAGGGCTTGGGGCACCCGACAAGCCAGGAAAAAGCCACATATACTCACATAATTTACAAGCCCGTAGGCTTTTGAGGCTTCTCATTTTCAGGCCCATGTACGAGTAACGAGTATTTTGCCGAGTCCTGAGTTCGTACCTCTACATCCACGGTACCCGATCGCTCGGAATGGCTCCAAATGGCTCTGTGCCGAGTTGCTGCACAGGCTCCAAGACGTTGAGCATGCGACCTTGCCATACAAAGTGGGCGAGAAGCCCATGGGCTTGCCAAATGAGCGTGTCTGCGCCTTGTACAGTCTCATCAGATCTCAGTAGTGCACACGTGTCCTCGATTTCTAACCGCTGCTTTCAAACACCTGCAAGGACCCCAATTGCCGGCGCGGCACCGACAGGCTCAACCCGCCGCAAAGCACCAGTAAAACCTGGGCTGTCACTGATGGCCTAACTAGGGATCTTGAAAGGGGGGTGAATCACTTCCGCAGGCTTGCGCAGCCAGATGTGCAGCCAGCGTGCGAACGCCGAGGCATGTGCCGTACCCCCTCTCTCTCTATCTCTCTTTCTTTCTTGGGGCTTGAGGTCAGGGATTTTCCCCCGCACTTGCGCGCCTCCATGTTGGGGTAGTCAGTTGTTCTCGGAACCCGGGGGAGATATCATATGGGTCTCAGGGGCTTGCCCCCAGTCACCACCAGCGTCCCCCCCAGCCCCCCCCCCCCCGAGTTCTTGGCGCGCACCTTTCTTTCGGCGCAGAAAACTAAGTCGGCCTGTGGGGAGAGCAAAACGTGCAGGGTACACGGATTAATTAGTCAAGGAGCTGAGTGCCCAGCCACCCATCTTTCTCTCTCTTCCTTCTTCCTTCCACTGCGGTTCAGTTTGGTGTGAACTTTATTTCTGCTTCTGCTGCTTCTTCTTCTCCTTCTTCTTCTTCTGCTGGGCATGAAGGGTCCCCGAAGGCCCCCACGCGCGAGTGCGCGCCCGAATACGGTCTACATGGGGTAACTGACTGCGAACAGACGACCAAAGAGAGGGTACTGCCCCCAGCATGCAAGCAAAAAACTGCTGCAGTTCCCCCACTCGAGGTCGGGCGGAAAAAACATGCAGTTTTTTATTTTGTCCAGCCCGCCTTTGTTCACCCTATCTTAGGGTCCTTGTAAAACTTGCCTCCCTTATAGAGTTTGCTGAGTTGGGCGACACACCGTATGGTCACAGATGGTACACGGCATGGGCCTCCGGCCCGTCTCGAAACTCTCTGATTAACTGCAACTAACTGCTTCCCCCGTCCAATTCCGTCAGGAAACCCGAAGTATAAAAAACCCTCTCACTCTCTGCCGTGGCATCCAGAGGGTCTAGCAGCGCCAGGCAACGCATGAGGCTCATGATGATGCATTCTGATGGAGCTAAGACGACCCTGCGCACACCCGCCGCCAACGCCAGCTGAATATCATGATGACATGCCCGGATCTGCTGCTACGCTCACGAATTCCAGTTGGCTCGCGAGTTTATGCAGATTCCAATATCTCAAATCCCCTGAACATGCCCATAAACTTAAAGCATCGCAAGCCGTCTTGAAGAAATTCCACACAGGCCGCTGATTACCTGGATGCTTCAGTAGCCTTCGATCTTGGAAAGGGACCCAAACGCAAGATAGCGAACGCATGTGAACCTAATCCGGACTGCAGGTCATACACCATGAATTCCCTATCACTAATCAACACAATGAATGCAGTGAGTGGCGCCTGAAACCCCCAGCAGATCGCCCCGGAAAGCAAGGAAGACGGCGAAAGAACCCAACTCAGAAAGCACCCAGGGTATTAATCACAGAAATTCATCGCTCATCCACAAGCGAAACAAACCTAATCTTCGAAAACATAAATCTAAATAACGTACAGAATCGAGACCCTACCATCAGCCTCACGAGCCATAAAAGAAGCCACCGTGAACCCAGCATACTTTCAGACTCCAGTGACTCCAGCAACCAAAAAAACTGCTAAGGCCCCAACCATGGTCCAAAGGGAAATGAGCACCGGCCCGGCCACGAGAGTCAGCCTCAGCCACGGGTTGAGCTGGGCAGAGTGGCTTCGACTGTGGTCATAACGAATCTGAGTCACCACGTGGCCAGCTTCGGTTGGCGCGCTGGGACTAGATTGAGGTTCCGACATTCCAGGCCGCTTGTTGTGGGAATGTGTCTGCCTGCAGATTGACTGTAGAGTGCGCAAGTCGCAGGCATTCAGGCATCGCATTGAAGAAAATGCAGCGGGGAGTTATGTTGAGCGTAGTCGTGCCACCCCATTCTCCCGGATGAATACTCTGCCTGTGGCTCCTTCAAGATCCGTGTATGGTGCATCCGCAACTGTCATCATGGATCCTGAATGATTCAAGTAGCAATCCTTCACCCGGACTGCCCTTCAAATCCGAAATCCCCTTGGAGACAAAGTCCGCGAATACTAGGAGAGCACAAGCCTGGACATGGCTTGTGAATCACGAGCTTGGTTGGGTGGCCTTGGGCGACTCTGCCGCTGGGCCGCCGCCACCAAAGCCACTGCCTCCTCCGAGGGTACTGGGGTTGTGGAACTTTTCAGGTTCAGATACCACAGTGGATAGGGGGGGGGGTGTGAAATGGAGATGTATGAAACATATTACCAGGAAAGTAAAGTTTTGTGAAGTAAATGGGTGGGCGGACTAGGTCTGCTATCTTTTCTGAACTCCTAGTGAGCGGTCTCGCTTTTCATGTGCTCCTGCCTCTTCATTTGATGCTTGTGGTTCACGCGTGAAGGCGTCGCTTCGCAAACTTATCGAAACGTCACCGCACCGCTCTCCCTGACAACGAAGGGCGGCACAGTCGAAATCGACTACCCTGGAGCTGTTTCCGATGGGTCCAAAGCACGAACGACGAGCCGCCTAGGCGCCATGTGCTCCGAAGAGCCTGCGCCGATGTCGGACGAGGTCCACAACATCACAAATCGAGCACGATCTCTGGCATCGCCATCGTCTGTTGCAGCTGCCATCAGCTGCCCCAAGTCGCACTCTCGCCTTGGTCCCGGGCGCCGTCCATGGCCCGAACTGCCTCTGTCCGCTACTGGAAGACTGCCCACAAACGCAAAACAAATCTCCACAAACATGGCCCTCCAAAGCATATTATCTATATGTATATGTATGTATATATATATATATATGTACTTTCGTGCATGTTATATACATATCTCTCTGAAGAATACGCCACCTCCAATATCAATTGAGCTTGTTCGGCTGACAACCTTTCATACCCATGCATTCGCTTCAGTTCGTGTCAGGAAAGACAAAGTTTCCTGGTTTGACGACTTTGAGCAGACACGGCTACCCACCCTGCCACATGATTGTCCCCACGCAGTTCCCGGCTAGCCTCAGTGGTGTAGAGGTGGCTGTAGCCAAACGTCTCTCGAAACAGTGTGTTGTCAAACCTGAAAGTGGCAACGCTGGGATTCTCAGGAGTCTGGACGGTGAGGGCTCGTGTAGATTGTACTTACGTTCCAGAAAACGATGCTGCACCAGCTTCTCTGCCGAGTTGTCTTTGCTCTTCAAGTTGTTTCTTGTATTCTAAGTTCAGCTGCGTTAGGCATGCATGTCTTTGCAACTCTCGCGTGAAGTATTTCGCGGCGCTACTGCCGAGGGGATCCGCGTTGGAGCTTATGATGGCGTAGTTGTTGAGAGGGCGGGCTTGGCAGGACGTAACAACAACTAAAAAATGTACCCCCCCCCCCCTGCGTTCGCGCAGTGTTGACTTCCAGCTGATGGAGTGCTCACTACCACACAGGCAGCAGCTTCAAACGACATCTTCAGCCACTGCTGTTACAAGGATCTCTCGACGACTCGGAAGCCCAGCTAGTAGACTGGTTGTGAACTCGGACTGTGCCCTGTTAAGCTGCTTGACCTGAACACCCAAACCCCCAAGCAAGTTCCATTGATGGCCGGGCAACCACTGATCGATGAGGCCTTTCTTGGCCATGGAGTACCTGGGCATGGGACATGCCTCATTGTGGTGTGTTTAATGCGTTCGGGCTTCGAGCACATGATTCCCAAGCCAAAGATCAGCTTCGATCCCTCGCGCTCCAAAGTGCATAGCCAGTCAGCTGCGCCAGATAAAATATCCTCTTCAAGTAACTCTAAGTCTGCGGCGTGGTGAAGTACGACTTTGGCTCAACGACACGCCCTGTGCTCACATCGGATTTCAAACCAATAAAGTGGAGATTTGACAATGCAGGTCCAAAGCTCAAAGCTGTAGCCGAGCCTGTGGTGTCTTTGTCTGCACAATCTACACCTAGTGCGCCCCTGCGGCCACATCTTAATGTCCCACTGCAGGCCTGCTGGCTGGTTGAGCGGCCAGCTGGGCAGCTGATATTGGAATGACACCAGGAAGTTCATGACCTCATCTTGGGCATTAGAAAGCACTAGAAGGCACTAGACTGGCCTGCAGAGTACGCGTACGCTCCTTCCGGTCCTTGAGCCTTGCCTTCAAAAGCTGGGGAGCCTGCGGCCAGCCACGCGTGGATTACCCAAGTCGGGGCCTTCAGCCAGGCTCCAATTCAGGCCCCCTATCCAGCCCCCCCCTAAGCCCTATCTCTCAGACTCTGAGTTTGGCCGAGGCCCTGGCGGCGAGGTGGATGCGACCCGTTGCTTCGGCCAGGCGGTAGCCGAGCTCCTGGACAATTCTGCTCCGGCCTTTCCGCCTCTGACTTTCTACAGGAGCGCCTTCTAGGCCAAGCTCGGTTTCTTAACTTCGGGGGGCATGGCTTGCCTCAAGTGTACAGGTTACTGACTGTCAAGACGACTACACGCTCAGTGTCCAGCCAATGACATGTCTGCATGCTACGGAGGTTGCTGCTGCCTCAGGCAGCTGTCTAGCGTATTCGAACGAGGCCAGATACAGGGACTGCACATGCTAAGTGCCAAACTTTTCAAAACAAGAGAGTAAGCTGCGCAGGATGCACAGGTCAGCCCCCAGATGAAATCCCCACACATTCCCTGGACTGCAACAGCGCATTGCAAACCAGATGCCTCCCTTCACAAGGGCGCAAGCAATCGAAATTACATCCACCGCGCCTGCTGTGTGGTGTGCCGCTCCCCGACTGTGTAGAAGTAGAAGCCTCAAGAACTACTTGGAGTCTCTCAAGGACTTGCGAGATTCACCTCGGGTTTCTCATGGACCGTTGGGGAAGGACGCTGAACTCGGACAAAATTAACTGCATATTCGCAGGCACGGCTTAAAGGAGCCCTGCAACGCACGCAAGGTCAGCATTTAACGAGCACAAAGCCTCACGTAAGCCAAACTCTTTTTGCCGCGGCCGCTGTGTCCGGATGCTCGTTTTAAGTGCAGGCGATGAAGATGTTGCCCGAAGGCGGCAAAGTTAGGCCATGCACCAGTATGGCCTTCAGCATCTGATGGCTATCAGATGTCTACACTGTATTCTTGTCATCAGCTACATTGACTAGTCATGCAATGCTTACCCATCGCCTTCACAAGCAGCTTCCGAAAGCAAAGCTAGAATTTGCCGTCTTACAGGAGTCAGCCGGCTCTGTAATTGGGATGCTACAGTTGAATCAGTTGAATTCGCTCTGTGTGTCTTCATCATCTGCGCTGTGGCGATGCACGCCTTGATACTGCCACAGTTGCAAACACAGTTCCCTGCCACTGCTGAATAGATCCGTAAAGCGCTGTCACATGACTTGCCATTCGCATCTCGGTAAGGAAAGTGCTGCAGCTGCGGTCAAGAGTTGATGAATAAATGAAAGGGCGATGGAAGCTAAGCCCATGCCGGCACACGCCTGCAAACGCAGAAGCCGTCTAGCGCATAGGGGGGAAATCTGCCGGCGTGAACCCCTGTGTACGTAAGACCACTTTAAGAGCATTGCAAGAGCACCCCTCCGCGACCATTTAGAGCCCAAAAAGATTCCAAAAACCCCAAGAAATCCGTTCCAACAGCACTCCAAGGGGGCGCGCGCCGCTCCTCCCTGGGTGCGGCGTGGTCTTCTGGGTCGGTTGGTCGGTGGCCACTTTCCTCCCTCGGTGGTGCGGCATCCCCCCCTGCGGTCTGATCTTCCTCCGTCTGTCTGACGCTAAGTCAACCTTGCAAAAGGCGTGGCAGGACCACCATTGTTTGTTGATAATACGAGAGGTGTGCAGGGGCCGGGGGGATTATTATATGTTGAAGATCGACATAGATCAACATTGGAGAGAAAGTGTGGCAGGGCCACGATTTGGTGCCAACACAAAATCAACATCGCTTGTGCATTATGTCCACAATTGTGTAGTCTTGATTTTGAAGAAGCGTGCAGGGCCACACGAGCCCTCCTCGTGAACCCCACTTCTACGGGCGCCACGTGGCCATCTCCACGACTCCTCCTTATGCGCCTTAATTACTCATATAGCATACTGTCTGGGAATCACCTATACAGCAATAAGTCCCTCCTCTACCAACACGGCCTGGTTGGAGAAAAAAGAGCTTAAACTCCTTCAACTTAAACCTTTACCAAACTACTCGAGGGGGAGGGGGCAATAGAAGGGGCGAGGAAGACTGAACACTATGTCCAGCACAGCGTTTGCTACCGTTGCTACCACACGCACTCCAGGTCTCTCTGGTCGCTATTAAAATGGCTGACCGGAAAGATCGCGGGGCGGCATGCCGGCAGGGCCAAAACTCGTCAGGCATGCGGGAGCCGCCAGGCTGCCAGGCTCTGCAGAACTTTGGTATGGAGCCTTCTGAAGTTCAATTGTGAAAAAGCTCCGACAAACACATCCTCCCAGAAATGCTTGGTAGGTATGACCTGCGAGCCTAGGCTTCCGCTTCCCGAGAAGGCAATGGGGAGAAGCTCAGCCGAGAATGGGAGGAATGCGCAGCTCCGATGGACGCCTGACCGTGGCTCCAATAAGTCATATGACTCTAAGATGACAAAAATTCCAAAAAATGCTGCTTTGCTTTGGGGCCTCTGGTTCCTGACCCAAGCTGTGGTGGCCAAGCCGAGGGCCGACAAGCCGATGGCGGCCGGGAGGAGGAGCCCACGGCGGAGCATCTCCTGGCGTAGCTTTTTGCTTTGTTAAAACCTTGCAATGTTTCTTGTTTCTTCTGCTGTTCTCCCCGGTGGAGTTAATAAGTTAAGGTCGATATTGAGATTAACAAGGGAAGGTTCCCTGAACATTCGGAATCAAGCCTTCGGCATACATCGAAACGGACATGCAAGGCACTTCACGTTGTCGAGACATTCAGATGCTTTGCGTGTAGATTCATGTAGTGAGGGCTTCGGAGCATGGTCATGGTTCTGCAGAGTAGGATGGGCATCGGTACTGCGTGCTGGGTTGGGCCTGTATTAGTCGCAGCCCTACAGACAGGAAGTAACTCCAGTATACGATTGCTGAACTAACTCCCTGTTCCTCTTCAAGTCTTTGCGCCGGGTGAGTGGGCCAGGAGTTCTTGATTTAACAAGGATAGCACGTCAGGCACTCAAAAGTGCGGTCCATCTACACACGCGAGAAGTTTAGAACGTCGCTGTCGCTGGGTCTTCCTGTCTTTCAATCCTTGAGCGAAGCTTTTCACGAAAAGGAGTGCGAAGTTGCAGCAAGCTGCTCTCACTCACGCGCAAATCTTCTCAGCCCTCTTAAGCACATCATGAACCCTTCAAGCCCCAAACCTGCAAGGGCTGGGCTTTCCACTGCCGCATCTGCATATCTTGCTAGGCTGCTGGTCGCCAAACTACGGGACCAAGGTCAATCGAGACACTGGACTTCGGGTTCGAGGACTGGGACAATGCTAGTTCGTTGCTAGGCGCTTTGCCATGCAGTGCCCTTGCTCCCACTTGATTCTGGCTTTGTGTTCACGCGTACCTGATGCACGAACTCTCCACTGCACCCGGCCGGCTCCCGCCCTCACGGCTTGCTGCAATACTGAAACTTCGCACGGATCCTCGGGGGGAGCCAGGAGCTGCAGCGGCCCAGAGCCGCGAAGCCTCCAGCTTTAAGCAGCAGTTTTTGTTCTTATGCTTAAGGCGCTTCTGTTTGCACGGTTTGCCTTGGCATGCGTTTTGTTAGAGTATGTTGTGTCGTTTTTTCTGTTCTGCCCTTCCGGGCCCTGCTATGTAAAAACCACACTGCGCGGCGAAGAGATGACGCTGGCCTCTGTTGGTGGACGCAGTCCCCACCCACGGGGTGGGGATGGGGGTGGGGGTGGGGGTGGGGGGGCAGTCGCAAGTTGCAGCAAAAACGACAGCAAATGCGAACCTTCGACTTCCAGGAATGGAGAAGAAGAGCTTGGAGGGGTGTTCGGGGCAGGGAGAGTAAGAAATGAATGCGCACAGCAGAAGAAACAACACCCAGACCGAAGGCTTTCCGGAGGTTTGGTTTTTGTGAGGAAATCTGCGGGCTCTTCGCTGTGAGATGATCTTGCCGAAGGCTCTGGCTAATGAGCCTTGCCCAACCTTGCCCCTCTAGCTTTGCAAGACTTAGATTATAATGAGTGTTTCAGGCCAATATAAGCCACATGTACCCTGCAAGGCTTTGCCGGGCAGCAATGCTGGGCTGGCGCCCGAGGAACCAGATGCCGACTTGGACTCCTCAGAGCTTCCAACGGAATGTGCGAGGAATGCGAGGCTCAATGTGAGGTGCTAACGCCGTGCATTTGTAACATTGCAGCGCCTTGTCGAAAAACCCAACATCTAATTTGTAAGAAGCACTTCTACGCTCAGCTCTGACCTTGCCCTGCGAGGAAGAGAGCTCCCGGATCTGTGGACGATGCAACTTGCGAGCATGCGGTCCGCCGGTGAAGCCGAGTTCGTCCAACATGTCCGTGACAACAGAACTCCATTTGTTAAGAGCCGCACCTCGGCGCTCTGAACCGCCTGCTTCACCCGCGCCATGCGCTTCTTCGCTTCATCCTGCGGCTGGTTGCTGTGGGTTTTCCGAACGGTTAACACCCCCCAGGGGAGAGAGGGAAAGACCAACTGGGTGGGTGGCTGAAACCCTGTGCTCTTGAACAGCATGGTCACAACATGGTGAAGCGCCACTCTTTAAACCCAGCACTGAACCTATAAAACCAGAACTCGATGTCCTCAGCGCCGTGCTCTACGCTGTCCCGACGATTCTCCATCTGGCAATCCAGCGAAGCTGCAGCCACGCCATTCACAGATTCCCCGATGAATTCAAACAGTGACATATCTGACTGAACCCTAAACCCCCATGTCAGGCGTCTCCCAAGTCGAAGAGTTGTAGCCACCGAGCCGATGGAAATTACATAAATAAAAATCATAGGTGTTTTAAGAATTGCAGTCATGTCTAGTCGCTTATACTAATGTAAGTAGTACAGGTGTTTGAAGTATGTTAGCTATAGTGTGTGGTTACAGGTGTCGGGCCTTGTCCTCGACCTTCTCGAAGAACTTCTCCACTACTCGCTCAGCCTTCTCGCCGTACCTGCCCGATTGCAAACGAAGCCTCCACCCAGCGTACCTTTCATGGCCCTTATACACTATAGCTGCAGCATGAAATACAGAAACACAGCATGTTCATAACTTTGAAGCACGGTTCACTCGATGAGACCTAAAATAAATGATCTGTTCATGCCCGGGCACTTCTCAGCAGCACGAGACAGCTTCTCCGTGACCTTCTCTGCAGTCTCCTCTGGTTGACATCACGAAAAACGAGTTCAGCAGGGAGTTCAGAGTTCAGCAGGCAGTTCAGCACCTAGGCAAGATGTGTAGTACTGATGCGCGACAAACTCGGCCGATACGAACTTTGCGTGTGACTTGGCACTCAAGCATGTCCACAAGTCCACAAGGCATTCCACGACCACGAACAAGGCCTAGAGCCTATCCAAGACCGGGGAAGCTCAACACCCAGCAACGAGCTCTTGGAATAGCGCAGACAAGGAGAACTTGCAAAGGTCCTCGTCCCCCTCATACTGGCTCTCCTTTTGCCCCGCCTGGCCATCCCGGAGCACTGTTCCGCAGAGTTCAGCCGTGGTGTTTCGAAATGCAGTGGTTAAGGCCCTGTGTCTTCAAAACCTGGAAGGCCAGACAGCAAAGGGGAGTTTTGCCATGTGTTGCCACACAGGTCTTTGTCTTTGTAGTTGGTGTCTAAGACAACTCATCTGCATGCCGTATA